ACTACAATAAACTATGTTTGCAATCGGTACCCAAAACCATAACGTACGTTCAAAAACAGAAACGCATGGGAGCAGCCTTGGAGGTTTTGCAGCCCACACTACATAAGGAAAAAAATTTTTGACAAGGATTGTCACAGGTGATGAAACATGGATTTGTTACGAGATACCGGAAACGAAACGACAATCACTGGAATTGTGGCATACCAGTAACCCGAACCCAAGTAAACAAAGCCGCATCTCACTTCAAGAAAAATCATGTACACCGTGTTTGGGACTGTCAAGAAATTTTGTTTGTGGATTGGATGGAACGAGGCCCAACAATCAACCCTACAGCTTACTCTGAGACACAAAAGAAGTTACGGCGTGCGATACAGAACAAAAGGCTTCTGGTACTGACTACTGACTTCCTGTATGGCTTTTTGACAAAGCACGACCGCATACTGCCAGTGCCTCCTAGATATAAAGCCGTCGGACTGGTCTGTGACGTCACGAGCACTAGGCCGCATAATATGAAACGGCGGAACTTCCGATAGCGATTTCTCCGTGCATACGAGTATGAATTTGCGTTAAATAATGAACTCTCAGAATAATCCAGAAACTATATTTCCGCAATAAAAAATTTATTTTACTATCGGAATATCTTTGAACATTACAATGCAAGAGCAATAAAACTCATTAAAGATGCATTAAAATTTCATATGTAATGTAATAAGATTTGATACTTAGTCCAGCAAAACTTGATCTTGAATATCGAATTTGGCTTTATAAAAACGATTAGTAGATGCTGAATTTTCAAATCATTCAATTAAAAATTAGTTCTGAAAACCAAAACTCCTCAATATCTTAAAAATTTCTGATATGTTGTTTTTATCTCATCTATAGACATAATATCATGTTTTCATAAAATCATATTCCTTGAAAATCAGAATTTAAAATTTCATCAAGGAAAATTTACATTTATTAGTCTTAAATATACTCTCAAATGTGTGTGGAAAATTATTATATATATATATATGATATAATTAAATACTCTGGCTATGTTAAGAAAGGAGGATTGGTGGACAGACTTCTTGATTTTCAAGTAGAGGATCATAAGGCAATTTTCCATACATTAAATAAGATTGCGGGAATTTTGCAACACAATGAGGTGTATTATTACATTATTCAGTAACTTGAGGAGGTAACAATTTTGTCCATGCAATATTAGCCTGATAAGAATTTAATTTACAGTTTAATTATATTTGTTTGAGTAACTCGTTCAACTTTACCATTAGTTTGAGGCCCGTTAGTAGTTAATAATTGTTTTACATTATGATTTCTTAAAAAGTGCTTAAATTTGGGAAGAAGAAGCAGCATTTCTATCACTTAAAATTTTCTTTGGTACTTGAATTTGAAAAATTTGTCTTAAACTATTTATGTAACTATCTGTAGTTACACTTTTAGAAGCAAAAAATCCATATTTAATGAGTAGCATGATCAATAATTAAGTGAATATACATTTTAATATAATTATAATAGTTTAAACCACCAACAGTATCAATAGATAATAATTCAAAAGGTTCACATTAAACCAAATCTCTTTTGTTTACTTTTCTTATTAAACTGACATACTTCGCAATGTTTACAAAAAAATTTTAGCATCTTGGACAGACAATTCCTGACCAATAATATTGACAAGATTAATATGAGCCTTTTAAAGTAATTTAGTACAAAGAGAGATTGCTATTATGATTTTGTATAATCCTTGCTTTTTAATAGATAACACATCATTAATTTCTTTATACTTAGGATTATATACATTATCTAAATTTTGATGCTCTTTAATTTCTTCTAATGAGAATAAATTAACTTCCAAACTTAAATGTTGACAAATAGGATTTCTAGTTAACATATCAGCTTCAATATTAGTAGAACTATTTTCATATTTTATATCAAAATCATGCATAGATAATTTTAAAGACCATCTAAATAACCTACCTGTAAGATCTTTAATGTTCTTAAGCCAAACTAAAGCAGCGTGATCAGTGTGTACAGTAAAATAATTACTGAGTAAGTATTAATAAAATTTATCTGCATCACCAATACAAAACATTCTAATTCAGTAATTGCATAATTTTGCTCATAAGACCTTAATTTTCTAGAATGAAAACCAATTTGGATGTAGGTTCCCATCCTGGTGCTTCCAACAGCTTCTTCAGATGCATCTACAAACACATAATTACATATGTAAGATATAATAAAATATGATGGCTATGTTAAGAAATAATTGGCGACCTTAAAATTGACTATCCTAAATTTTATTTTCTCCCCCTCCCCAAGTTCATCTGTTCTCCCAAATTCAAGATCTTTCCAAATTATTCAATTATATTTCCGAATTTCTGGGTTTACGCATCCATATTTCTAACCCTGTGATTAAAATATCATGCATGTAAATATATACACATAGTACCTACTAAGTTTTCTCATCGTACAAACTTCTAATATATCACATATATATAATAATATACAAAGATTACTTAAAAGTAACATCCAAGCATACAGTTTATATTTTAAATGAAAAAATATTTTGATGTGAAAAACATTAACATAAATCTAAATTAATTGCTGGTATGTAATGGACAACTATTGCTGTTACCTATATAAAATAATACAGTACAACAAATGAAGTCTTTAAAATTATTTATTTATATAACATATTTAAATACAATTCCATAATTTTTAATATTTTAATACAGAAACAAGAAATTAAATTACAAAAATAATAAAATTACACATATATTTACTAATGCATGTTTAGAGAGAGCAATTAAAATTAAAAAAGTGAAATGCACTAAAATTATTTTCAAGGCCAAAAAATTATATTGGTACATTTCTAATATATTCTTTGTTTGTTATGCTTACATAGCAAGTGTTTTTAGTTTTCTTTTATCTGAATATTTAGAAAAGCTATCATTTTTGAATTTACAATAATTGTTTAAAAGAGTATTTGTGCATGAGTATATAAGCAGTTGCATAATTTTACGTGACAAATGGTTTTTACAGGAAATAATTTTAATTTCCTTACACATAAGAATTTCTAATGTCATAGTGGATATTAAATTACGTTGGTTACATACTTGGAGGAGGAAACTATTTTCATATTCAGGGCTTATGAGCTTCTGTATGACAATAAAATTATGCAGTATTACATTAATGACATCAGCAGATGGGTACTTTAACCCACCTCTATCACAATTATGAATATGTTTGAAATTGGGAGGAATTATTAGTGGTTTTTCAATAACTAAATTACCTCCACAGTCATCACATTTTAGCCTATTCATAACTGAGTGGCAACAATATCCAGCCAAGTATGCAATTAAAGGTAATTTATCAACCATAGTTTCAAGATCATTATCTGTGACATTAATATGCTTGAAATTATGAAAATATTTTACAATAGATTCATGGGAACTATCATTAATCAAATCAAAAGAGTTAGAAAAAGTCATCGATAACAATTGTCCCTTTACTTTTCGATATCATAGTTAGATTTAATACAGAACATGCACGTAGTTTGTTTTCTACTTCAAAAACCTGTCGAAGTGATATATGATAATTTGTTCCAGCCATCCTGCGATATAAACTAAAACGATGTTCCAATTCATCTGTCTGAATTTTACCGGGCAAAAAATACGACATGTTGAGTTCACCTAGACAATACCTACACATTTCTATCATACACGTTGTTGTTAATATAAGAGCAGAAAGTGTCTCTTTTGTCAACCTACCCGTATCACTCTTCATTTCTTTCCATTTCATCAACCAATCAAGAAAATTATTTAAAAATACAAACTTCTTGTCTGATTCATTCCATACTAATGGTTTACAGAAGTCATCACAAGAATGTACCCCCTTGTTTGGTGTTTTTTTAACATTCATTATTGAAAACCACGACGAAAATATTTTAATATATGCAGATGTTTCGTGAAAATTTAACAAATTATGCTTTACTCCTAATTCTTTCAGGCCTTGTGATGTTTGATCGTTGAAAATTTGTAAAGCCAGTTTCACACTTTGACGTTCTAAATTTGTAGGCCACAGAGCTTTACGAGATATTGTATATCCATATTTTAACAAATTACCACTTTCAGCTTCATACATATTTTTTAAAGTAAGAAATGAAGAGGTACATACATTATTTGAAGACAAGTCAAAATTTGGAAAATACATAGCTTGTTCAGGGTTTTTCTGGTTTAACCAGTTGTTACGAACACTTTTAATAATATGAACAGAATCAACTGCATAAAACAATGGACGAGTTGCATCAACAGGATGAGGAAATACAAAATTTGATAATGGATTATTAAACAGAGATATACATCTTCTATTAATGGAATTATTGTCACTAACAACAACAATTACTTTGAAACCTATTGCTTCAAGACCAACAATTATTTTTTTCAAAACAGTGAACAAAACTTCAGCTGTCATTTTCTTCGATGATGGTAATATATGGACAACATCTTTAAAGCAGCACAAAATACTCTGTATCATAAATACATGTGCACTAGAAGCTAAGTTATCAACTTCCTGGCCAATTCCAACAATATCTCCACTTTTGTAGTCAAGAAAAGGTCTGATGTGAATTTCATCCATCATTAATGAAACATATAATTCATGCTCTTTCAGATAGCAAGCTTTTTGCTTAGCATATGCCAAAAACAACATATCATCTGTTTCCTTTTGGGGATTTACATTTAATTTAGAACTTATTTTATGTATAGTACTTGGATGAGGCAAAATTAAATTACCAGATTGTCGGACAAATTTATATGCTTGGGGCGATAACAAATAAAACATAGAAGCTAAAATTAAGGTATTGGATGAATATTGACGATTTTGGGGCTTACATTTTACAAGAGAAAGTTGTTCAATCATGAACTCAAATAAAATTTTATCACCTTCATTTGTGAAACTTAAAGATTTCATCAGGTTGATTATAATTTCAATCGAATTCATTAATTCATTAAGTCTTTAGTTTCTAACATTTCAATATGATCAAGTATTTCATGAATTTCATTAATATTACTTACTTTTATAGGTAACTCATTATACTTACTACTGATATGAGTCAATAACTTATTTTGAAACGATACAGATAATAAAAGATCTGCAGTAATGTGGACTGCATAAAGCAATTTTACACATCCATCAGTGCATTTTAAATTCAAAAACATCAAGATATTGTCTTTGTGCACAACGTTCCAAAATGTAGAAAATTTATATTGCATACAACAGGTTAAAAGTTCATTAAAGTCTGAAAATGAAAATGTCCTCGATTTATAATACTCAGCAGCTGATAATTTACTATGAGCAATAGCTTTCATCATGAGGTTTGCTTCTCGTTCCATTTTTTTCTCATTCGGACTTTTTCTCGAACTACCAGCTTGTGAAGATAAATACGATGGACAGCCATCAAATATGCTAGGAAAAGCGCCTTCTTTTAGTTTTGGTCTCTGCAGTGAAGCTTTAATGATTTTCCCATTTTTTTCATCGAAAGCTGATGTTTCCCAGATGAGGTCATCAGGTTGAAAATGTTTATGGCACACCTATTAAGTAAAAGGAAGACATCATGTAACTAACTTCTTAAAACAACCAACTGTAAAGCAAGATTGAATCACTTTCCTTATAAATAAAAACATTCAAGCTTTGGCAATGCTTTGGGCAGGTTAAATTTTAAATGCATATATGCAAATTAAAATTTTTTTTCAAATATTTAAGGATCAGTTAACACTACATATAAAAAATCTGATCATGACAGCATACGACCTCCTGCCTATTCTATGGCTTATACAGCAACGAGCTTCGAAGTATCATTAGCCCTTGATTGTTTGTAAATTAAATGTAATTTGTTGATTCATCAAATAGAAAACTATACACTGAAGCCTATTTATACATGTTGGCGGGAGGTAAAAATACATGTTGGCGGGAGGTAAACATCAGCTTGCAAAAAGTTTCCATAGCAGACTAAGAATATTCTACCAACAATTTATTGAATCTTAATAAATTAATTAGGATTACACCTACCCGAGAATATGGAGTTGCTGAGAAGTCCTTCCTAGGTATATTTCTTAGCCACCTCTCTCTAAGAGCATCATTTTTGGGAAAGGAAAATGTATGCACCTTTTCAGTACCTTTATAATTTCCCCGACAACCAGTTACACAGCATTTAAATGGCATATTTTCTGTAAAAACAGTACAAAAATCAGTTCAGTTATATAAATACTAAATGTTATAACAATTTAAATTTAAATTTGCATAATTATACATTGAAATTCGATACACCATAAACCAACGGTGGAGAATTTCAAATGTCATTCAAACATTTGAATAAATGAGACTTCAAGAAATTCGTATCTGAAGAACACCTAAGCTTCTATTAAGATATCTATTATTATACTGAAATTATTACTTGCATCAATGATGATAATTTTGATATTTAAAACATGCTGAAACAGTCAAATGAAAATAATATCAAACTTCAGGCGAATCATGTTTAGAATATTTAGAATATTGAACAGTAAAATATATACGTGAAATCTGAAGAAAGACTTTGTTTGGTAAACTAAACACTATTTATGGAATGTTAAGATGAATTTACTGCTTTAATATTTAAATACATTGTATGCAAATACACAGTATAAATTTAGAAACCACATAAAATACATCTTTCAATAGTGATAAGTTAATACATAATTAAACTCACAATAAAACAAACGTTTTTTACTAGACTGTTCTTCAAATACTGAACGCTTTGATCACATAACTTTAAAAGTTTGCCATTCTCACTTATACTTACACTCATTATACAATGCACTCACATATTAGCTATACATATTAGCTATTATTTATTCTACACACTCACATATTAGCGTACATACGTTTGTTAACTGATATACGTAATTATTAATTTAACTAGATTTATTGTATAGGTTTACTTTCAATTACATTTTTAAAAACTGTTAAGCTTTGTATAAATGATTAGGTTAAAAATTCGTAAAACAGTAAGTAATGAAATAATAAAAAAAAACTTTTATAAAAGAAAATACGTAACATTAGATACTGCACACATAAAATTAAAACTTCGGTGGTGATGCACTTAAACAAAATATATTAAGTAAATTCAGAAATAAGATTAATAATAATAATAATGGCTAATCAATACGGAGATAAACATAATAAGTATACGTGTGTTACTAATAATTAAGCAATTAATACTTAATTTAATTCAACATTAGTAATAGCAAGCGTTTATTTCAATGAACAAAATATAAAGTTACATTTCAATAAATACGAACTTACCAAGTATTTCTTCTCCCCGACAGCACGTGCTAACATTCCAGTCTATGTACACCGCAAAGCAATGGCTTCCCAATTGAGAATCCAAACCTCGAGAACATCACGTGGGCCTACTAACTTTGACGTCACACTTGTTTCTACAACCTGTCCATTGGCTTTATAATCTAGGAGGCACTGATACTGCACGTGTAACGATGAGGCTGCTTGAATCATTTCGAACAATTCTGTCACTCTATAGTTCGGACCTAGCTCCATCCGACTTCTATTTGATTTCTCATCTGAAGAAATTTCTTGCCGGCCAGCATTTTGTAAGTGATGATAATATCTAGATATACGTCCAGAACTGGTTCGGGTCACAACCGGCCGAATTGTACGAAGCAGGTCTATTGTAATTACAGAGTTACAAAGTACAAGGTTATAAGGTACAATGACAAGGGATTAATGTAATTAGTTCCAAGATATGACATATTCTTTGATTCGCATGGTGAATATGTCGAAAAGTAGTTTAAGTTGTGTAGATTTTTCTATAATAAATATAAATAAAGTCAAATTGCTAATGTTGTTAATACCCAAGTGGTACTTACGTTTTGGATGAACCTTGTATTAATAAAGCTGGGAACTAGACATAATGATAAAAGTAATCATGCTCTTTAAAAGGTTTTTTTAACTTTCAGTATATGTGAGGGGAGGATGGGCGGACAGCTAAATTTTAAATAAGGAGTATTATTTTTCACTGTTCATAGACACTTAAGTTATAAATCAGGAATATAAGAATTTAGTATAATTTTCTTTGCAAAAAATCTTTAATTTTCAAATAGAAACTCAAACTCAATCACTTTTTGAAAAGCCATTCAACCTTTTTCAGGATTTGGAGAACTAAAAATTCCGCATGAAATTCTGTTTGGGTGAGAAAATTCACTAATGAGGAATTCTCTAGTGCTGATCAACTGCATAATATAACTAAATTTTATTATAAGTACATCCATTATATGTACACACACACACACGCACACACACATACACCGTGTCCAAAGATTTCTTTATCCAGCCTTTATTTTCGAAACCTTTAGTCATAGTCATATAATACTAACTTACAAAAAAAAATATTTTAAATGACGGAAATATTCATGTTTTGGTATTTTTAACTAAAAAAAGAAAATCCATTTCGAATTCTAACGTTTTATGCGTTCCCTACATCCTTAAATTTATATTTAGGAAAATGTTATTATAAAAGCACGGTATGAAACGTGTGGCTCCCGTACGAAAAAAATTTATCAAGATATTTAGCTTTAACGTTGGATATCATATTCACGGACCGTACATAAACTAAAGAGCTAAATATTTGTATTTGTATTTAACTAAAGTGTTGCTGCTGAGAAAAAACTTCTGATGTTAATAGATTAAGTGATGAGCATTGATGAATATAATTTGTTTCAAACTAGAGATGTTTTTCACAGAATCTTTCAGAATTCTTGTTATAGAAAATAATGGCAGGCTTCGGTATTGCCATACCATCAACTCTTAACATAGTTTGCATAAATTAAAAATTAAAAATATTCCTAGTTTACTGAATTTTTTCTATGATTTTCAAATTAGGATTCCAAAGTAAGAAAATTGCATAAGAATATTAATAACATATTTCGAACGTTTCAAAATTTATGAGATACTTGCCTGAAAATACTTACGGCATACCATTTGTAGCAAAATTATAAAATAAAGAATGTTACGCACAAGTAAATCACAAGAGAATATTACTGAATAATATTTTAGGTGGAAAACATTAACCTCGAACTGTTCTAATTTATTTATTAACTGACCCTCAAGACGAGTAGAAAACGGCGTCAAATATCGCAGATTTTTTTAATGAAATATTTGTTTCAGTTTCTGTCGTATGGGAATAAAATTTCCTGTACTGTGCGTTTCAAAATGAGTATAAAACTTTAATAAGATGTATGGACTAAAAAGCCGCATAAAAGGTTTCGTAATTTGCCCAAAATTGATTCTTTCTAATTTGAGATTACCAAAACATGAACATTTGCTTTATTTAAAATATTTGTGTAACTATATGTCTATGACCAACGGTTGCGACAACAAAGGACAGGGTAAGGCCTTTTGTAGACCACGGTTTGTGTGTATTTTCAATTTTTCTGATAATGTTTTCAGAGAACTAACTCCCCTAAATTTTAAAATGGATTCGTCCACTTAGTGATTGTTTTCATTTTGCTAACAAAAAGGCAAACCCACACAAACTACCTGCGCCGAACTTTCCCTTCTAAATGTTAAACTTTACGCAAGCCTAATACAAGAACAGAATCATCATAGCGAAGTAAGCACGAGTTGACATTCAGTCTACGATTTCACTGAATCAGCTGCACATTTACCTTCTCTATTTATGCATGATTTGATGCCTAAGGAGTAGCAGAGACAATGATAAGAAGATAATAACGGGCGATATTCAGTTAAAGGGAAATAGAAATGAAGATATCGTATTAGATAATGTTAATATTGCTATGTATTCTTATTGAGAAGTAGATTTGTTTTAAATAAGTAATATTGCGATAGTTAGCTGTAGTTTATCCATGATTACTATTCATTCACTATGTTCTTACTATAACCACGTCCTTCGGAAGTTAAACTATTCGCATAATTTTCCCCTCTCGACTTTTGGGCGATAAAAATTAATGAAAAGAGGCGAAAATACGCGAGAAATTTGGTTTATACTTTATACATAGAGACCAGTGGTTCTTAACCTGTGGTGCGTGTACGTGAGGGGTGAGAGAGAGCATTTCCAAGGGTACCAGATAAATTTCAAACAATAAAAAATATATACGAAGGAGGGGAACGTGCATGTTACAAATAGTACCGATTAGAATATAAGCAAAACCAATCTGTGGCAGCGGCGATGATAATTCGTCACGTCATATCGTGACGTTTCATGGTTTCATTTTCATCTCACGTTACATACAAGGAAAGGCTGTTGCTCAACACATCGTGCTTGTCATCAGTCGTCAGTACATGCAGTTAATGTAGTCACATTGTCACATGCAGTACAGAAATTTGTTGAGATGTGTTCGCATACTATGAATAGGAACGTAAACGAGGTTTGTAAAAATATTACTTCAATTAATTAATAATGTTTTGTAGTATTTATTGAAATTAAATCAATTTACCCATCGATAAAAATTTATATCAATTAATTTAAATTTTTAAATTGTAGTAAACTTCGTTATGTAGAAAAAGCGTCAATGGAAAGACAATAATGTCTCTATGGATTCACTTGTACAACAGAAAAAGATGGTACCCCAACGGCCACAATATATTTTAGGTTGTAAAATATTTTCCAGCTCCAATCTTAAACCCTCAAAAATGTTAGAATATTTCAGTAATCAGCATGAGGGTGAATCTATTGGATATAGTCTTTAACATCTTGAAATCTAAAGAAAGCACGATTTGATGCCAGCGGTACTATTACAAAATTTAACTATACAGCAGTTTAAAAGCCTTTCCGTATAAGCTTGAAATTGAAAAAAATTGTTCGGTTCTGATGCACAAAGGAAAATTCAACAAATTCCACTATCGAGTGATGCGATTCGATCGCACATTGAAGATCTCAAAAGTAAACTTTCTCTCCTTTGACACCAGTTTACCGAAAACCCATATATTTTCTGAAAGCTTATATCACAAGTAGAAAACTGTGAAGTTTTAGGGACAGAGGGACAAGCGTTTAGGAGCTATAGGACCCAAAAAGTATCATTAAAGTGTGTATTTAGGTGGACATATTCCCGTAATGACGTCTCTATTTCTTGTATATTCATGCATTGTCTGCTACCGAAATACCTGATGTTAAAGTCTTACAAAAAGAACTGGTACCAGAAGGATGTATGGGAAAGATCCAGCTCTAGATATTCATTTCTTCAGACATTGTAACAATTCTTTTGTTCGTTACATAATGGACACAATTATTATCGCGACCGAGCACATTTGACATAGCAATAGTTTTTTTCTGGCCCTGCAGACTTTTCAGTATATCATTTCAACGGTCATCGTTTCAAGAACTTGATTAAGTATGCTTTTTATTAGTATACTTGGACTTATTAGGACTTTATTAGGACTTTTTATTAGGACTTATTAGGACTTTACTCGGATTTTTATTAGGATTTTAAGGGCGAATACTTGGACGATGAAACTGGAATGTGCTTTGCGCCGATGGATTAATGCTTCGATTTCACTGACAAATGATGAGTGTGCAAAATATAAGGCTATTGCTTTTGTGATATGTCCCCAATGTTAACTGTCTTTCTGCCCGTCTGAATGTTTATTTTATGAATTGCACATTGATTGTTTCTTGTAATACATTTTGTTTGAAGTCGATAACAAGTCACATTTTCAATATCCCAACGTATAGTGTTTCTTTTCAACGAGTGGTGTTTTCTTTATATTGAGATCTCCACCTTCTTACCACATTAGTAGTTCACATAAGTACGTGAAACGAGCATTTTCGCGACGTTTGGTGTCATGTTTCCAACTTTTTACTGATACTTTGTGGGTCCTATAGCTCCTAAACGCTTGTCCCTCTACCCCTAAGATTTCACAGTTTTTCTTCTTGTGACATAAGTTTTCAGAAAACGTGTTTCCGGAAAACCAATATCAAAGGAGAGAAGGTTTACTTGCCAGTACTGACATTTTGTAGAGACATTAGGAATTTTTTGGAAGCAGGCAAGATGAAAAATTACCAACGCCTTCGCCGAGAATCGAACCACGGACCTCTGGAATACGCGCCCAGGGTGTATACCAACACACCACGAAGGCATGCGAAGAAGGCAGGAGAAATACCTTATAATTTTGCTCAAAATAGTAGAAGATATCAAATACAGCCCTCTAAAAGTAAGCATCCAACTGCACAAGTCAACTGATGTTGATAATTGCAGTCAGGTTATCAGGTTCAATGTTCCTTCTAACCTTCTTCGGAAACATGCAAGGACCTGACTCGGAACAGAGAGTTTACTAAAGCTATGTTCAAAACTGTGGGAAGTAAACAGGATGCACAAGAAGGGTATACAAAACCCTTTATTTTTCTCTATTTACAATGACTTCCGTACTTCGGAATACACCAACCCGCTACTTGGGGTCAAAACGTAAAAGTATAAAAATAAAACTAAACTCTAATTTA